TTATTATTATTATTATTTTGTTGTTATTGTTGTTGTTCTATACCTGGAACTGGAAGATGCAGCATTCACCTTTTCCTAAACAAGTCCCCTCCATTGGGAAAACAGCTTAGACCAGGGTAACTGTTCGCCACGCCCCCTGCCGCTCTCAGCCAATGAAAACCCCGTTCACACTCAGGCTCTGAGTGCCTTGCCCTGGTCGCGCATGCGCAGAATCGAAAAGGGAAGTCCGGGCTGAGGCGCGGGCTGTGGAGGTTGTTTCAGGCCCACGAAGGAAGGAAGGAAGGAAGAAGCAGCCATGACCAAGCACTGCCGGGCCCCCCATTGCTTTAATTCCGCCGGGCAGCCCCGCCCGGACGGGCAGAGGCTCAGTTTCTACAAGTCAGTAACAACTTCTTGGGTTCTTTTGTGTTTCTGTTGGGATGTGACGTCACGTAGTGACGTCACGTAGTGGAAAAGGTTGTGACGTCACTTTGAGCCTGAATCACTTTTCTCTTCCTACATCTGGTTCTATTTTTACTTCCCAAAGGCAGCATTTGAAGGCGTAGGATCCTTTCTATTGACTTCCTTGGCCCTGTGACGTCATGGAGGAGCTTTCTGACGTCACTGGGTGCCTGGTTGTGACGTCACGTTGAGTTTGGGTTGTTTCCCCCCCCTGCTTTCCAAGGCAGACCCCTCACTGTGTACTTTGTTTTTAAAAGGCAGTGTTTTGAAATCAAACAGTTTAAAACAGGGTTGTGACGTCATGGAGGAGCCTTGTGACGTCATGGAGGAGGCTTGTGACGTCATCCACTCCTTGAGAGTTGGTCTTATTCCTTCTTTGAAACCAAATCTGTAGCTGCTTTGCTGCTACTTCATTATTATTATTATTATTAATATTAATATTAATACAATAATAATTATAATTCTATTTTAATTAATTATAAATTATTATTATTATTTTCTATTTTAATTAATTAAAGTATTATTTATACAGTAAATGAATATTATTAATATTATACTATATTCATACAATACAATTTTATTTTAATTATTTATTTTTTATTATTATTGTTTTCTATTTTAATTAATTATAAATTATTATTATTTATACAGTAAATAAATAATAATAATAATAATAATATTAATAATATACTATATTATTATGTCTTATCTACCTCTCCTAAAAGCTCAAGGCTGGGGTACATTATTATTATTATTATTATTAATAATAATATAATAATAATAATTATAATTCTATTTTAATTATAAATTATTATTTTTTCTATTTTAATTAATTAAAAATTATTATTATTATTATTATTATTATTATTTATACAGTAAATAAATAAATATTATTATAATGCTAGATTATTATTATGTCTTGCCCATTTCTCCTCACGGCTTGAGGCTGGGTTACATTATTATATTATTATTATTACATTAATTATATTATTATTATTACATTAATATATTATTATTATTATTATTATTTCTTGCCTCCTACACATCATGGCTTGAGGCAGGGTTACATTATTATTATTATTATTATTAATATATTATTATGATTTCTTGCCCGCCACACGCTCGAGGCTGGGTTACATTATTAATAATAGTAATATTTTTTATTATTATTTCTTGTTTGCCATGGCTCAAGGCAGGGTTACAACATACATATATATATATATAGTTTCTGTTATGTTTTACCTTCCTCTCCCCATGGCTTGAGGCACGGTTACATTATCAACAATATATATAATTATTATATATAATTATTTCTTGCCCAGTGCTCCTCATGGCTCGAGGCGCAGTTACATTATTATTAATAACATATATAATAATATATTATTATTATTATTTCTAGCTTGCCTCTCTTCACAGCTTGAGGCTGGGTTACATTATTATTAATAATAATATATTATTATTATTTCTTGCCTGCCACACCTCACAGCTCGAGGCAGGGTTACAACGTTATTATTATTATTATTATTATTATTAATAATAATAGTATCTTGCCCTCCACTCCCCATGGCTCGAGGCGGGGTTACAACATTATCTATCTATCTATATAATTATTTCATATATTATTATTATTATGTCTTGCCCGCCTCTCCTCACGCTCATGGCAGGGTTACAACATTATTATTAATAATAATAATAATAATAATAATAATAATAATAATAATAATATCTTGCCCTCCCCTCCCCATAGCTTGCGGCGGAGTTACAACATTATCAACAATATATTTATAATTATTATATATAATTATTATTTCTTGCCCAGTGCTCCCCACGTCTCGAGGCGCAGTTACATTATTATTAATAACATATATAATAGTATTATATTATTATTATTATTATTTCTTGCTCGCCTCTTTTCACGGCTTGAAGCAGGTTACAACATTATTATTAGGAGCCCTCGGTGGCTCAATGGGTCAAACTCTTGTGCTGGCAGGATTGTTGACTGAAAGGTTGGGGGTTCAAATCTGGGGAAGCGGGGTGAGCTTCCTTCTGTCAGTTTCAGCTTCTCATGCAGAGACATGACAGAAGCCTCCCATAGGTTGGTAAAACATCCAGGTGTCTCCTGGGCAATGTCCTTGCAGACGGCTAATTCTCTCACACCAGAAGCAACTTGCAGTTTCTCAAGTCGGCCCAGCACGGGAAAAAACCCATTATTATTATGCAGTGTAACAGACATAGGAAATTGGAACGATTGGATGATGAGATTGGACAACGTTTAACTAGGAGATGTAAATGATCTATGTTTTATTGATCTTGTTATGATTTTATATTATATGTTCATGTTTTTAAATGTTTTTAAGGTGGTGTTGGGCATTGAATTGCTGCTTCTGTAAACTGTCCTGAGTCGCCTGCGGGCTGAGAAGGACGGTATACAAATATAGCAAATAAATGAATAAATATTATTATTATTATTAATAATAACAAAACTTTATTTATATTCTGCTCTATCTCCCCGAAGGGACTCAGGGCAGATTCCAAATATAAAAGGCAAACATTAAATGCTCGAATACAACAATACATCCATAATAACAAAATTTAAACAACCCAACATATAAACACAAATTATAACTTAACAATTAAAATTAAATAAAAAACACAGCCTCTTATCTATATAAGTAAAAATGTAATGTTCATTTGGGGGATTAACATAACTTAAAAACCACTGGGCGAATTGACACCAAATTTGGACACAAGACACCTATTGGGTCAACGAGTGACCATCACCCCTAAAAAAACTCCCAAAAAGACAGGAGAACGGACTTTAACCCCCCCCCAAATAAACAATATATACATATACACATACATTCATATACACAAGTACACATACATACACACACATATATACACAAGCACACACAAATATATACATATACACTTACACACATATAAACACAGAAATATACATACACAGATGCACATATACATACAGACACATATAAATATATACGCAAGCACACACAAATATATATTATATATTGAGACTTCCGGTAAGATGGCGGACAGCTAACAGCAAACTTGCAGAGCGGGGCCGGTGAGATTATCTATCTGAACCCAATCCTCCTCATCCAGACCCTCCCCAATTACCAGCCGCCACCATCGGCTCCCAGAGGTTCGAAGGAACCCTCTGGGGGGCTTTTTGGCGAATTTCCACCTAAGAGAGGGGAGTTAAGAGGAGGAAGAGGGAAGAAAGGGAGGAGAGGCAGAACGCCGAGGCCTTCCCATTCAGGGCCCAAGTAGAGCGTTCCCTCCGAGCCAGGTCTGTGGCTGCCGGATTGCCGACCCTCCCTGAGCTACGGCCCGAGAGGTGTGTGTTGGCCCCTGCCTGTTCCCTCACGTCACCAAGGGGAAGCAGGACCGACCTGTGTCTCCGTCGCGAACCCCATTGCCGTCCCCGTCTCGGACGCCATTGCTGCTAGAGGGCCCACCAAGATACTGCTCTGGCTATAGCGCTCGGCGCTGCTGGGTGCTCCGCTGCCGCTCCACTGCTGCATCTCCCACAGTTGCTGGGTGCTCTGTCGCCGGCACCCTGCTGCCCGGCCACCTAGCCATCAGGAGGAGGAGGGCAGACCGTGATCGCGGCCGCCATTGTTGCGGCGCGGCCGGCGCGCAGGGCCAGCGCACGGCTTCATCTCGGCCTAACTCCAGCCGACGCCAGCTGACGCTCCACTGTCTACAGCTCCGGCGGGCCAGCGTACCTTGGAGTCCGTCCAAGCCCAGGGAAGGCTGGTTTTTCCATCAGGCCAGCCCCCTGCCATCAGCTGGGGAGCGCCGGAGAAGGAAAAGCGAGCAGGAGTGCCCTGATCAGGCTCCAGCTGTGAACTCCTTGCTTTCCAGCCTCCCTCCATTGCTTTGCGACAGCCAGATTACTACACTGCCATAGCTGCTACCGGCGGGCCGATTGCCTTCTACGGCTCCTGCCACTGGGGCTGGTCCGGATGCGGCTTGACTGGCCTCCGTCCGCCTAGACCGCCTTGCGGCGTCACTGCGCCGCCGCGCCGCGAGCTGGAGGTGCTGGGTTCCGGGCCTCGCTAGCTTTCCATCGCTCCAGCCCTGTCGTTCCAGCTGATTTCCCGGGCCTCCCTGGTTTGCCATCGCTCCAGTCCGGTTGTTTCAGCTGTTTTCCATCGCCCAGCAGTGCCTTGTAATAAGGCTTGTCGCATCCTGAACGGCCCCTCAGCACGCCAACTACGGGCTGTGTCACCTGCTAACATCTTGCGGCTTGCTTCGATGCAGCCTTGCGTCCCTTCTCCATCGGGAGTGCGGGACCACGAGAGTGACAACGACAGCTCTACTCCCTGCCTCTGTGGTGTTGCCATCGTGTGCTGACCAACTTGTTTAACTATCTATTTGTGTTGACCGATTTTGTGCCGCCCGACTGTGCAACTCAAGCCGTGTGTTGACCATCTATTTGTGCTGACCGATTTTGTGCCGCCCAAATTGTACCGACCTACACTGCTGACCAACCGCCGTGTTGACCATCTCCGGAAGGACTGAGAGATCCATTCGCTGCTCTACATTAGCCGTCCATCAACTACATCTTGAACCACAACAACCTCACCAACTGATATTTGTTTATCAATATCCTTGATGTTGTGTTTACATATCTCCTAGTGTTGCACTTTATTTGTTCCTTGCCTTATCTGCTGCTAATTGGTACAAATAACTTAGTATAGCACTTTACGGCGCCTTGCCTCTTCTGTTGTTAAATCCAAACTAGCACTTTAATTATCCCAATCCCTCCATGCCGCACTAGATAGCACTTAGAGCCAGACTTGAGTTTCTTGTTTGCACTTTAAGACCTTTGCACTTTACGAACTGCTCCAGTTGCACGCAGTTGTGACGCTTACTGTGTTTGCACTTTAAGATCCTTGCACTTTACGAACTGCCCAGTTGCACGCAGTTGTGACGCTTACTGCACTTTTGCTACTGTTAATTTTATTGAAGTGTTACCATCATTACCCATGCGGTACCCTATCCCCCTACTTGTATTGTCCTTGGTATTAGTGACTTGTGGAAGGGGCAAGGGACGAAACGGGCTGGAGGTCGTGGGTAACAATAAGGTGGGGAGGGGGGAGAAAGGGAATGGAGGAAGTTGGCAAGAAAAAACTCCAACAAACCAAACAACCATTAATGGAACAGAAATTGAGACCATGGATTTGGACTGCGGCATGGAGGAGGGGAGGTGTTCCACTAGCCGAGGGGCCCCCATAGAAGTCGTGGTGGGGAAGGGGAGATGCGGGAAAAGGAGACCACAAATTCGGCCTAATTCGGATCGCATATCTACATTAGTAATTCCAAACCGGTCTCCTATGGTAAATTGGTGTAACCAGGTTGGCGGTCCCTCTGGATTGAAGGTGGTGCTGTTGAACGCCAGATCTGTCAACGGAAAAACGACCTTTATCCAGGATTTAATCCTGGATGAGCGGGCAGATCTGGCGTGCATCACGGAGACCTGGTTGGATGAAGCTGGAGGCGTGAATTTGACTCAGCTTTGTCCACCAGGTTTTTCCGTGCAGCATCAGCCGAGATCCGGAGGGCGGGGAGGCGGGGTCGCAGTGGTCTATAGAGATTCCATCCATCTGACCAGGAGTCCCATCCCGCAGTCAACAAATTTTGAATGCGTCCACCTGAGGGTGGGTGACCGGGACAGAATAGGGATTCTGCTAGTGCACCGTCCACCTCGCTGCACTACAGTCTCCCTACCTGAGCTAGCGGGGGTGGTCTCGAGCCTGGCGTTGGAGTCTCAACGGCTTCTCGTGCTGGGAGACTTCAATATCCACGCCGAGGCGGCCCTCACAGGAGCAGCTCAGGACTTCATGTCTGCCATGGCAACCATGGGGCTGTCCCAACAAATATCTGGCCCCACCCACTGTGCTGGACATACATTGGACTTGGTTTTCTGCCAGGGATGGGAGCAAGGTGGCGGTGTTGAGGAGTTGACCATCTCTCCGTTGCCATGGACCGACCATTTCCTGGTCAGATTTAGGCTCACTGCACCCCCCAACCTCTGCAAAGGTGGAGGACCCATTAAGTTGGTCCGCCCCAGGAGGCTTATGGATCCGGATGGATTCCTGACGGCTCTTGGGGATTTTCCCGCCACCTCGGTAGGTGACCCTGTCGAGGCCTTGGTCGCTCTCTGGAATGGAGAGATGGCCAGGGCAATTGACACGATCGCTCTGGAACGTCCCCTCTCAAGTAGCCGAGCTAAACCAGCTCCTTGGTTTACTGAGGAGTTGGCAGTGATGAAGCGAAGGAAGAGGGAACTAGAGAGCGTGTGGCGTTCGGATCCGAGCGAGTCAAATCGAACACGGTTTGTGTCCTTTTTAAGGGCATATGCCGCGGCAATAAAAGCCGCAAAGAAAACTTTCTTTGCGGCCACTATTGCGTCTGCAAGGAACCGTCCGGCTGAGTTGTTCCGGATTGTCAGAGGCCTTTTAAACCCCGCCGCCCTAGGCGGGAACCCTGACAATTCGGCCTCTCGCTGTGAAGCTTTTCCTCAGTTCTTTGCAGACAAAGTCGCTTTGATCCGTTCTGGTCTGGACACCATATTAAGGGCAGTCTCTGAGGATGTAACATGATCACCTGCTTGTCCTATTTTGATGGATTCATTTCAATTGGTGAAGCCCGAGGATGTGGACAAGATACTTGGAGGAATGAGGCCCACTACGTCCATCCTAGACCCCTGCCCATCCTGGCTTCTGAAGGAGGCCAGAGGGGGATTGGCTGAGTGGGTAACAGTGGTGGTTAACGCCTCCCTTCGGGAAGGCGAGATTCCAGCGAGCTTAAAACAAGCTATTATAAAACCGCTGTTGAAAAAACCATCACTGGACCCCACTAGATTTGACAACTTTCGGCCAGTTTCCAATCTCCCCTTTTTGGGCAAAGTCATGGAAAGCGTGGTGGCCTCACAACTCCAGGTATTCTTGAGAGACACGGATTATCTGGATTCGGCACAGTCTGGTTTCAGACCGGGACATGGAACTGAGACGGTCTTGGTCGCCTTAGTGGATGATCTGCGCCGGGAGCTAGACAGGGGGAGTGTGTCCCTGTTGGTGCTCCTGGACCTCTCAGCGGCCTTCGATACCGTCGACCACGGTATCCTTCTGGGGCGCCTTGCGGAAATGGGCCTCGGGGGCACTGTTTTGCAGTGGCTCCGGTCATTTCTGGAGGGCCGCACCCAGAAGGTGTTATTGGGGGACACCTGTTCAACGCCACATCCTTTGACTTGTGGGGTTCCACAGGGCTCTATACTGTCCCCCATGCTGTTTAATATCTACATGAAGCCGCTGGGTGAGATCATCCGGAGTTTCGGGGTGCGGTGTCATCTGTACGCAGATGATGTCCAACTCTGTCACTCCTTCCCACCTGCTACTAAGGAGGCTGTCGAGGTCCTGAACCGGTGCCTGGCCGCTGTAACGGTCTGGATGAGGGCGAACAAATTGAAATTGAATCCAGACAAGACAGAGGTACTCCTGGTCAGTCGCAAGGCCGAACAGGGTATAGGGTTACAGCCTGTGCTGGATGGGGTCGCACTCCCCTTGAAGGCGCAGGTTCGCAGCTTGGGTGTGATCCTGGATTCATCGTTGAGCCTGGATCCCCAGGTCTCAGCGGTGACCAGGGGAGCATTTGCACAGCTCAGGCTCGTGCGCCAGCTGCGCCCGTACCTCGGGAAGTCTGACTTGGCCACGGTAGTACACGCTCTGGTCACATCCCGCCTTGACTACTGCAACGCTCTCTACGTGGGGCTGCCCTTGAAGACGGCCCGGAAGCTCCAGCTAGTCCAGCGCGCGGCAGCCATGTTACTAACAGGAGCGGGACGCAGGGAGCACACAACGCCCTTGTTGTTCCAGCTCCACTGGCTGCCGATCTGCTACCGGGCCCAATTCAAGGTGCTGGTGTTGGCCTACAAAGCCCTAAACGGTTCCGGCCCAAAATACCTGTCTGACCGCATCTCGGCCTATGAGCCCACGAGGACTTTGAGATCGTCCGGGGAGGCCCTTCTCTCGATCCCGCCTGCCTCACAGGCACGCCTGGCGGGGACTAGGGACAGGGCCTTCTCGGTGGTGGCCCCCCGGCTGTGGAACACCCTCCCTGTGGACATCAGACTGGCGCCCTCCCTTATGACATTCCGCAAGAGACTAAAGACGTGGTTGTTTGAGAAGGCGTTTGAGTAAGTGCTGCAACAATTGGCAGTGACGATTGGAACGGAACATGGATAACGAGATTTGGATTGTGATTCAACGATGAGACGTCGCGAATGATTTAGTGTAATTGTATTATTGATAGTGATGTTGTTTAATGTTGTTTTTGATATTGCTTATGTTGTAAATTGTACCTGATTTTACATGTTGTACACCGCCGTGAGTCGCCCCAGGGCTGAGAATGGTGGTCTACAAGCGCAGTAAATAAATAAATAAATAAATAAATATACATATACACTTACACACATATACATATACACATATAAACACAGAAATATACATACACACATGCACATATACATACAGACACATATAAATATACACATACAGTATACACACATACATACACACATATATACACACATATATGCATATACACAAGCACACACATATACACAATATACATATACTTAAACACAGAAATATACATATACACATATACAGACACACATACACACATATATATATATATGCATGCACAAATATACACATACAGTATACACACATATATACACATACACACATATATGCATATACACAAGCACACACATATACACAATATACATATACAGACACACACATATATATGCATGCACAAATATACACATACTGTATACACATACACCTACACACATATATGCATATACACAAGCACACACATATAAACAATATACACATATAAACACAAATACACAAATATATACACACATAAATACACACACACACACATATATCAGACATAAACACGTATACACACACACAAAACACATATACACAGACTGGGCCACAGCAAGGCATGGCAGGTGATGGCTAGTATATAATAATCAAATATTTTTAATAGGTAGGCTGTTAGGAATTGTGGGAATTGAAGTCCAAAACACCTGGAGGGCTCAAGTTTGCCCCTGCCTATAATAATATAATAATAAACCTTTATTTGTACCCCGCTACCATCTCCCAAAGGACTCGGTGTGGCTTACAAGAGGCCAACAATAAAAAAACAACAATACAGCAAAATAAATCAAAACAAAGCAATAACATTAACAGCGCAAGGAGACCATCTCAAGGAGACTTTTGCTTGCCTCCAAACAGGTTCCCGCTGCACAATCCCAAACGCCTCCGGCAATGGCTCTCCCAGATGAAGCAAGAGAAATGGATCCCGACGAAACACCAGCACCTCTGCAGCGAACACTTTGCACCGTCTTGCTTCGAGTATCGATGGGGAGTGCGCTACCTGAAGCCGGATGCCGTCCCCACCATTTTCCAGACGTCCAGTAGCCCGTTGGTAAGTTTGAGCCTGCTTTCCCAAGGTGTGGATGGGAGGAAACTACCAACCATTAGGAATTGTGGGAGTTGAAATTCACAACTCCCACACCCTTCATAAGTGTTGGAAGGTACCACATTGGCCATCTAGTCCAACCCCTGTGCTGGCAGGACTGAAGTCCAACAGGTTGCAGGTTCGAATCCAGGGAGAGCGCGGATGAGCTCCTTCTGTCAGCTCCAGCTCCTCATGTGGGGACATGAGAGAAGCCTCCCACAAGGATGATAAAACATCAAAACATCTGGGCGTCCCCTGGGCAATGTCCTTGCAGACGGCCAATTCTCTCACACCTGAAGCGACTTGCAGTTTTTCAAGTTGCTCCTGACACAAAATTATTATTATCATTATTATTATTATTATTATTATTATTATTATTTATAAGTTGCTATATTATTTTATTTATATTATTAATAATGCAGTATTATTGTTGTGATTGTTGTTGTTATTATTATTATTCCAAACCATTGTTACAAGGAAGCCTGGACGGCCAATTCTCTCACACCTGAAGTGACTTGCAGTTTTTCAAGTTGCTCCTGACACAAAATTATTATTATTATTATTATTACTATTATTTATAAGTTGCTATATAATATTATTATATTTATATTATTAATAATGCAGTATTATTGTTGTGATTGTTGTTGTTATTATTATTATTCCAAACCATTGTTACAAGGAAGCCTGGATGGCCAATTCTCTCACACCAGAAGCAACTTGTGGTTTTTCAAGTTGCTCCTGACACAAACTTATTATCATTATTATTATTATTGTTATTTATAAGTTGATATATATTATTATATTTATATTATTAATAATGCATTGTTACTGTTGTGATTGTTATTATTATTATTCCAAACCATTGTTACAAGGAAACCTGGATGGCCAATTCTCTCACACCAGAAGCGACTTGCAGTTTTTCAAGTTGCTCCTGACACAAAATAATAATAATAATAATATAATAATAATAATAATAATAATAATTATTATTATTATTATTATTATCATTACTATTATTTATAAGTTGCTATATTATATTATTATATTTATATTATTAATAATGCAGTATTATTGTTGTGATTGTTGTTGTTATTATTATTATTATTCCAAACCATTGTTACAAGGAGGCCTGGATGGCCAATTCTCTCACACCTGAAGTGACTTGCAGTTTTTCAAGTTGCTCCTAACACAAAATTATTATTATCATCATTATTATTACTATTATTTATAAGTTGCTATATTATTATATTTATATTATTAATAATGCAGTATTATTGTTGTGATTGTTGTTATTATTATTATTCCAAACCATTGTTACAAGGAAACTTGGACGGCCAATTCTCTCACACCAGAAGCGACTTGCAGTTTTTCAAGTTGCTCCTGACACAAAATTATTATTATCATCATTATTATTACTATTATTTATAAGTTGCTATATTATTATATTTATATTATTAATAATGCAGTATTATTGTTGTGATTGTTGTTATTATTATTATTCCAAACCATTGTTACAAGGAAACTTGGACGGCCAATTCTCTCACACCAGAAGCGACTTGCAGTTTTTCAAGTTGCTCCTGACACAAAATTATTATTATCATTATTATTATTATTTATAGGTTGCTATATTATATTATTATATTTATATTATTAATAATTCAGTATTATTGTTGTGATTGTTGTTATTATTATTCCAAACCATTGTTACAAGGAAGCCTGGATGGCCAATTTTCTCACACCAGAAGCGACTTGCAGTTTCTCAAGTCGCTCCTGATTCGACAAAAAAAAATCTAGTCCAACCCCCTTCTGTGCAAGAAAAGCTCAATCAAAGTACCCCTGACAGATGGCCATCCAGCCTCTGTTTAAAAGCCTCCAAGGAAGGAGCTTCCCTCAGACTCCGAGGCAGAGAGTTCCAGTGTTGAACAGCTTGTACAGTCAGGAAGTTCTTCCTATTGTTTAGGTGGAATCTCCTTTCTTGTCATTTGAACCCATTGCTCTGAGTCCTAGTTTCCAGGGCAGCAGAATACAAGCCTGTCCCTTTTCCTTATGACATCCTTTCACATATTGATACATGGCTATCATGTCTCTTCTGAACCTTCTCTTCTGCAGGCTAAACAGACCCAGTTCTTTAAGGCGCTCCTCATAGGGATTATTTATAGTCATCCTCTTCCTCTGAACACTTTCCAGTTTAGAGTCAATATCTCTTTTAAACTGTGATGCCCAGAATTGGACACAATATTCTAAGTCAGTGTTTCTCAACCTTCCAAATGCCGCGACCCCTTAATACAATCCCTCATGTTGTGGTGACCCCCAACCATAACATTATTTTCATTGCTACTTCATAACTGTCATTTTGCTGCTGTCATGAATCATAATGTAAATATCTGATATGCAGGATGTATTTTCATTCACTGGACCAAATTTGGCACAAATACCAGATACACCCAAATTTGAGTACTGGTGGAGTTGGAACGGGGATTGATTTTGTCATTTGGAAGTTGTAGTTGCTGGGATTTATAGTTCACCTACAATCAAAGAGCATTCTGAACTCCACCAATGATGGAATTGAACCACACTTGCCACACAGAACTGTAATGACCAACAGAAAATATTGGGAGGGTTTGGTGGGCATTGACCTTGAGTTTTGGAGTTGTAGTTCACCTACATTCAGAGAGAACTGTGGACTCAAATAATGATAGCACCAAAGTTGGCATGGATACTCAATATGCCCAAATGTGAACACTGGTGGAGTTTGGGGAAAATAGACCTTGACATTTGGGAGTTGTAGTTGCTGGGATTTATAGTTGACCTACCATCAAAGAGCATTCTGAAATCCACCAATGATAGAATTGGGCTAAACTTGGCACACAGAACTCCCCTGACCAACAGAAAATACTGGAAGGATTTGGTGGGCATTGACCTTGAGTTTTGGAGTTGTAGTTCACCTACATTCAGAGAGAACTGTGGACTCAAATAATGATAGACCAAACTTGGCATGGATACTCAATATGCCCAAATGTAAACACTGGTGGAGTTTGGGGAAAATAGATCTTGACTATTGGGAGTTGTAGTTGCCGGGATTTATAGTTCAACTACAATCAAGGAGTATTCTGAACCCCACCAACAATGGAATTGAACCAAACTTGGCGCACAGGACTCCCATGACCAACAGAAAACACTGGAAGTGTTTGGTGGGCATTGACCTTTCGGAGTTGTAGTTCACCTACATCCAGAGAGCACCATGGACTCACACAATGATGGATCTAGACCAAACTTGCCATGAATACTCAACATGCCCAATGTGAATAAGTACTGGCGGAGTTTGGGGGAAATAGACCTTGGCATTTGAGAGTTGTAGTTGCTGGGATTTATAGTTCACCTACAATCAAAGAGCACTCTGAGCCTGACCAATGATAGAATTGGGCCAAACTTCCGAAACACGACCAACAAAAAATAATATGGGTTGTTGTAGGTTTTTCCGGGCTATATGGCCATGTTCTGGAGGCAATTTTTCTCCTGACGTTTCGCCTGCATCTATGGCAAGCATCCTCAGATACAGACAAGAGTCCCCCCCCCCCCATATACATATATACTAGCCGTCCCCTGCCACGCGTTGCTGTGGCCCAGTCTGATGATCTGGAAAATAAAGTAATGAGAAAGTGTTGGTTTTTAGTATATGTAATTTCTTTCTGCTTGAGGGTAAACTATTTCTTGCTGGGTTGTTGTAGGTTTTTTTGGGCTATATGGCCATGGTCTAGAGGCATTCTCTCCTGACGTTTTGCCTGCATCTATGGCAAGCATCCTCAGAGGTTGTGAGGTCTGTTGGAACTAGGAAAAAGGGTTTATATATCTGTGGAATGACCAGGGTGGGACAAAGAACTCTTGTCTGCTGGAGCTAGGTGTGAATGTTTCAGCTGACCACCTTGATTAGCTTTGTGGCCATGAAAGCCTTCGCCAAATACAGGAAAATAATATGATTTTTCCTGAAATGTCTTTGGGCGACACCTGCTTCATGAAAAAAAAAAAAGGAAGAAGAAGAAAAAAAAAAGAAGAAGAAAAACAAGAAGAAGAAGAAGAAGAAGAAGAAGAAGAAGAAAAATGTATATTCCTCCCTAAAGTGTCCCACCACCCCCCCCTCAACGCCCCCCCCCCCCCCCCCCCCCCCCCCGAGATCCTGACCCCCAGGTTGAGGAACACTGTGCTCCATCCACAGCATTCCCTGCATCTACCAAGCTTATAACTCTCAAAGTAAACAAGAAATATAATCTATTTCCTTATTTTTACTTTTTTTGATTCCAGAAAAGGGAAAACTCTGCCAGGCCTCCCTCTGATGTGCCGTCCAAGAAACTCATCCTCAATTGCCAGGGAGAGAAAAGCATGCTGTTGCCCCAGAACAGGAGCCAGCAGGAACCACACGCACTGGAAACAACGCTTGCCTTTGCCATCGATCCCAGCGTGGGCTCCACCCCGGTTTATGTGGAAACCCAGCCATCCGCCTCGGACTTGGGCTTCGGCCCTCTTGTCGGAGCCGTGAACCTCGTCCCGTTGGTTCAAATCGTGGAGCCCCTCAAGGCCGTGACGCTGGCGGTGGCTTCCCCAACGGAGGCCGTCCCCGGCCAGCCTTCTCCGGACGCGATAGAGCAGCAGGTGGTCGATCTCGTGGCCTCTTTGCCGCCCGCTCACTCCGCAGTTGGGGTCTCGGGGCCGTTTTGTGCCAAGATGGTGGCCGCCACTGCCGACCAAGCCTTGGTAGTCGACGAGTCCGAGCGGGGTGCGCTCATCATCGAGAACATCTCCATCGAACCCTTCTTGGAGGCTGAACCTTCCGCCACCGTCCTCAGCTCCTCTACAGAGATGGTGGCCTATTTTGAGACCATCCCCACCGCCCCCATTGCAGCGGCCGCCTCGTCCGGCGTGACTCCCCCCGAGACCGTGCTCTCCTCGGCCCTCAGCCTGCCCATCGTCTCCACCGTCCCCATCGTCTCCAACCAGGCCTCCCTCACCAAGGAGGAGGAGGAGGAAGAAGACGAAGAGGAGGAGGAACTGGGAGAGCTGAGCTCGGAGGAGTCCACGGAGGAGCAGCTGGAGGAGCATCGTTACCACAAGCACGAGGAGGGGGGCACGGCAGAGCTGGCGGAAGTGGTGCTCAGCCTGCAGAAGAAGGTGAAGGTGCTCCAGCAGCGGCACCGGCGGCACTGTGCCAAGCTGGAAGCCATGGAAGGGGTGGTGGAGCAGCTCAGGAAGGAGAACCTGGTCTCCGAGGAGAAGCTGAAGCTCTTAGAGATGGTAAGTCAATACAGAGATGGTTGCAACGTCTGCCTCTTATCCCAGCCCCATGGCAGCAACATCGTCTTTGAATGACTGTACTGGGAGTTACGTTACGTGGGTAGAACAGATTTTGATTGGACATTGGGAAGAGTGTACTTCAACCATGTGGGTAAATAGCACTATAGGTAAAGGTTAAGGTATTCCCCTGACATTAAACCCAGTCGTGTCCAACTCTGGGGGGTGGCGCTCATCTCCGTTTCTCAACACAACAGCAGAGAGGAAACAGTCTGGGACATTTTCATCTTGGAAAGAAGTGACATACAACAGTGAGCTCCTGGCCTTTAGCCCAGCTTCTGCCTACCTAGCAGTTTTGAAAACAGCAATGTGAGTAGATAAATACTGTAGGTACAGCTCAGATTAGATCTGTAATTGGTTAAATGGATGAACCCAGAGGGTGATTCTCCCAAAGGCATCCTCTTCTTCATCCTGGAAAGAAGTGACGAGCGGAGTGCCACAAGCAGGGTTCCATCCTGGGCCCGGTCCTGCTCAGGATCTTTATTAATGACTTAGATGAAGGGTTAGAAGGCAGGATCATCAAGTTTGCAGACGACACCAAATTGGGAGGGAGAGCCAATACTCCAGAGGACAGGAGCAGGATTCAAAGCGATCTTGACAGATTAGAGAGATGATGGGCCAAAACTAACAAAATGAAGTTCAACAGGGACAAATGCAAGATACTCCACTTAGGCAGAAAAACGAAATGCAAAGATACAGAATGGGGGACGATGATGCCTGGCTCGAGAGCAGGACGTGTGAAAAAGATCTTGGAGTCCTCGTGGACAACAAGTTAAACATGAGCCAACAATGTGATGTGGCGGCAAAAAAAGCCAATGGGATTTTGGCCTGCATCAAGAGGAGCTTAGTGTCTAGATCTAGGGAAGTCATGCTCCCCACGCTCTATTCTGCTTTGGTTAGACCACACCTGGAATATTGTGTCCAATTCTGGGCACCACAATTCAAGAGAGATATTGACAAGCTGGAATGTGTCCAGAGGAGGGCGACTAAAATGATCAAGGGTCTGGAGAACAAGCCCTATGAGGAGCGGCTTAAGGAGCTGGGCATGTTTAGCCTGAAGAAGGCTGAGAGGAGATATGATAGCCATGTATAAATATGTGAGAGGAAGCCACAGGGAGGAGGGAGCAAGCTTGTTTTCTGCTGCTCTGGAGACTAGGATGCAGAACAATGGCTTCAAACTACAAGAAAGGAGATTCCATCTGAACATGAGGAAGAACTTCCTGACTGTGAGAGCCGTTCAGCAGTGGAACTCTCTGCCCCGGAGTGTGGTGGAGGCTCCTTCTTTGGAAGCTTTTAAACAGAGGCTGGATGGCCATCTGTCAGGGTGATTTGAATGCAATATTCCTGCTTCTTGGCAGAATGGGGTTGGACTGGATGGCCCATGAGGTCTCTTCCCACTCTTTGATTCTATGGTTTTCTCTTTCACATATTTCTCATAGGACGACCAGTCAGTCCTTATTATTGGATTTCCCAATCTTTTCTTAAAAAAAAAAAGTTAGTTTGTCCATGTCTCTAATTTCTTGTATTTTTTTTTATCCAATTGTCTACTTCCGGAGTTTTGTCCATTTTCCAAAGTTTTGCATATGATATTCTTGCTGCAGTTGAGATGTAGGTAAATAAAATATCTTTATCGCAGACTTAATTTTAATAGTGGCAAAAAACTCTCTGGAGGGAGAGTGCAGAGGGAGGAGAAGCACTGTTTCTTAGATTCATCCAGTTAAGCTGTATGGCCATCTGTGAGGAGGGCTCTCGTTGTGCCTTCCTCCATGGCGGGAAGCTGGCGGGAAGACACATCTCCATCCTGCTTTATGCAGATGATGCTGCTGTACTCTCTAGAACACCCATTGGTCTCAAAAGAGCTTTGAGAGCATTAATACAACATTGCAACACAGATCAGCTCCAACTCAATTACAATAAAACCAAAATCATGGCTTTCGCTAATAGGCCCAGGACTTACTCTTGGAGCATAGATGGTCATAAAATTGAACAAGTTACATCCTTCAAATATCTAGGTGTAGTTTTCCAATCTAATGGTAGCAGAAGAGCTCATGGGGATCAAGTATCCAACACCGCGCAGGGGAGCTCAATTGCCATTCTTAAATATCTCAGGACAAGAGGGGGCCACTTCACACCGGCAGCGCTCAAGCTGTTTGAAGCCAAGTCATTAGCCCAACTCTTGTATGGTGCTCAGCTGGGCCCCTTCCCCAGTTTTGCCCCATTAGAGGTGGTTCAGTCCAAGTTTCTGAGATCGGCCTTGCAGGTACCTAAATGCGTTTCTAATGCCACCCTGCGACTAGAGACGGGTTTTATGAGAGTGGAGGCCAGGGTGTGGGTGGCCATACTCAACCTCTGGCTCAGACTGTCCCGTGCACCCCTTGGCCTTGCCCCACTAACCATGGAGGATGACTTCCAATCCACATGGAAGCAGGCGGTAGCATCCAAAATCTCCTCGTTGGGATTTTCTCCAGGTCTACTATTAGCTATGGATTACAATCAAGCCAAATCACAGACACAGAGCGCCAACTAGATCTGGCCTCGGTTCCAACCTTCCTTATCAATGAAGACAGCAGATATCTTGCCTCCCCTATGGCATATTTAACATACTTAGAGGTTCCTATTCATCGAAGGGCTTTCACCCTCTCCCATCAGCTGTACTCGAAGGCCGCTACCGGAAGATCCCTTTCCCAGAGAGACTCTGCCCCTGTGACTCGGGTCATGTAGAAACAATAGAACATGTGCTCCTTCAGTGCCCGTTCTACAGGGATACCCGTGCCAGGCTTATCTTACCTCTGATAGACAAGCACCCAGGCCATTCAGGACAATTTTATACCTCCCTGCTACTTGCAGATACTAATTCAGCTACAACCTACAATGTCGCAAAGTTCTGTGCAGCAGCATACAAAATCCGCCAGGGAATGACTAGTTCCAAAGTCAACTGTGTGTCCAGTAATCTTCTTCCCTGAATCTACAATTTGGTGATGGATCTGGGCATTGTATGTTTTTACCCTGTTTCCCCTTCTGCTCCCTCACCCATATTGTGTTTTTAGTAGTTATATTTTTAATGTACCAAACATGCCAGGTTTGTATGGAAATGTGACACTATTTCCTGTGCTGGTCAATGACCGAAATAAATATTTTGAATGTGAATTTGATGGCAGGAGGGGAGTTGGAAGGGATGGCCCCTTGGGGTCTCTTCCCACTAGGATTCTATGGTGATATTATTTTCTTTTTTTCAGGCCTGCCTTCAGTCCAGCGCTATAATCCCGGAGAGCGGCGGCACAGTCGCCATTATCTGCCAAGACAATGACCAGGCGCTGGTCTACGCCATGCCTCAGCTTCAGGACGAAGGGAACGAGACCATCATCCACGTTGAAGAGCAGTAGCCTCATGGAAGACGCTCGAAAGCCAATCCTTTCCTTGACGTGACCAAAGGCACCTTTCTAGGAAATCTATGGGGAGCGTGTGCCCTCCTTCAGTCGTCGGAATCACAAAGCCGGCAAATTCCAGCTTTGATGGCCTTATTGCTGTGGCACCTTATTTTGTGGGGAAGGGATGTGGGTTTTTTTCCCTCTTTGTCTGAAATGTGATTGTATATAAAATTGTCTTTGTTGGGGGAATGAACCACTGGCAATGTCTGTATCGGCTTCCCTCTCTGTGCCTCAGCCGATTTTGGAATTTCAATTTTGGATAGGTAATAATAAGTCAGAGCTACTCATTGCTCTTTGGATAATGCAGGAACTCGTTGGACTGAGCTGAGTTGGGAGTTGTTGCTTTCGAAGTTATCCAGGGAAATATTGTTTTTCATCGCGTAAAAGTCGCATTTTAAAATCCATTTTTAAATGGATAAAAGAGGGCTGCGACTATTACTCTTTGGACAATGTGAGAACCCGTTTGACTGAGCTGAATTGGGAGTTGTTGCTTTGGGAGTTATGATCCAGGGAGGTACTATATTTCGTCGCATAATAGTCGCATTTTATCCAGTTTTTCAATTGACAAAAGAGGTGTGTGACTTACTCTTTGGACAATACAAGAACCCATTTGACTGAGTTGAATTGGGAGTTATACCCTTGGAAGTTATAATCCAGGGAAATATTGTTTTTCTTCGCATAATGGTCGCATTTTTAAATCCATTTTTAAATGGATAGAAGAGGGCTGTGACTATTACTCTTTGGACAATGCGAGAACCCGTTTGACTGAGCTGAATTGGGAGTTATTCCTTTGGAAGTTATAATCCAGGGAAATATTGTTTCTCTTCGCATAATGGTCGCATTTTAAAATCCCTTTTTAAATGGATAAAAGAGGGCTGCGACTATTACTCTTTGGACAATGCGAGAACCCGTTTGACTGAGCTGAATTGGGAGTTGTTGCTTTGGGAGTTATGATCCAGGGAAGTACTATATTTCATCGCATAATAGTCGCATTTTTATCCAGTTTTTCAATTGACAAAAGGGGTGCGACTGTTAAGCTTTGTACAGTGCAACAACCCGCTGAATTGCGAGTTGTTCCTTTGGGAGTTATGATCCAGGGAAGTACTGTATTTCATTGCATAGTAGTCGCAGTTTTTAATCCACTTCTTAAATTGATAAAAGAGGGCTGTGAGTATTTTTCTTTGGACAATGTGGGACCCTGTTTGACTGAGTTGAATTGGGAATTGTTGCTTTGGAAGTTATGATCCAAGGAAGTATTGTATTTCATCGCATAATGGTCACACTTTTTATCCCACTTTTTCAATTGACAGAGGATTGCGACTATTACTTGAGGAAAAATTGCCATTTCTTTTTTTAAAAAATAAAATGCCTTGCTTCTGAAACAGATGGAGGAGCGATGATCTAGCCTCAAACAAACAGGTCAGTTTATGTTTGTTTGTTTGTCTCAGAGAAAGGAGGAGAAAAGATACCCCCTTCCTCTTTTCTCTGAAGACAAAGCAATTTACAAAATCTGAAATTGAGCTCTTTGGAGGAAGTCTTCCTAGTTCCAGAAATGTTCATTTTAAGGTTTTGAAACTGCCTTGCTTTCGTAGAAAGTAAAGAAAGGAGAATCAACTCAAATGGTTCTGCGACTATTATGGGAGGAACACAAAAATACCAATTTTGCTACCCAAAATGGGAGTAGGGGACTATTATGCGATGAATACGGGTAACTCTTTTCAACTTTGCTTTTGCTGCGGTGTGACCAGTTTCTTCTTAGAGCGGAAACACAGTTATGTTTCAGACGCCCAAACTTCTCAGGCTTTGCAGTTGTGTCCAACCTCAAGGGCTTTCAGAACAACTTGATGCGTGTGTTTGTATGATTGTGGTGCGTATCTTTGAGAAAGAGAGAGAAGGAGAGCTGGAGAATGCAATGCTTTTGGTTGGCAGTGGGATGGAAAAAAAGAAATTATTTGTTACAGAAACTATTTTACAAGGGGGTTGAGGAACAATTATATATATATATGCATGGATGTGGAAACCAGGATGAAAACAGATCTTAGAACTTGACATTTTCATGGGAAGTCTTCAAACTTGAAGGTGCATAAGTTTACTACAATGGTCCTCAACCTGTGTGTCCCCAGATATTTTGGCCTTCAACTCCCAGAAATCCTAACAGCTAGTAAACTGGCTGGGATTTCTTGGAGTTGTGGGCCAAAACACCTCGGGATCCATAGGTTGAGAACCATTGGTTTACTAGAACTTTTGCTGTCCACCAAACTACAGTCGGCTTTCCACGTTTGCATGCATTAACAGCACAAATGTTTGTTTTTTTTCATTGAGAGGACACTTCTCTACAATCTATTATTATTATTGTATTGTTGAAGGCTTTCATTGCTGGAATCACTGGGTTGTTGTAGGTTTTTTCGGGCTATATGGCCATGTTCTAGAGGCATTTTCTCCTGACGTTTTGCCTGCATCTATGGCAAGCATCCTCAGAGGTAGTGAGGTTGCTTGTCATAGATGCAAGCATCTATAATACAACAATCCTTATTGTATTATAAAGATAATATATAATAACAATATGATTATATATAATCATATTGATATTATATATTTTTTATAATACAATACTATAACAATACTATACTATATGCTATACTATAATAATATAATCATATAATATTTAAATAATGTGATCTATATTATATAATGTATAATATCAATATAGATAGATGTATATACACACACACACACACATATACACACACACACACACACATATATACACACACACACACACTCTGTGTATGTGTAGTGAGGGTGCAAACATTTCTTGAGTGGCATATAGTTTGTTTTTTTTGTCGTGTCAAGAGCGACTTGAGAAACCGCAAGTCACTTCTGGTGTGAGAGAATTGGCCGTTACATACACTGTGTATGTGTAGTGAGGGTGCAAACATTTCTTGAGTGGCATATAAATAGTTTTTTTTTTTTGTCGTGTCAAGAGCAACTTGAGAAACCGCAAGTCACTTCTGGTGTGAGAAAATTGGCCATCTGCAAGGACGTTGCCCAGGGGATGCCCGGATGTTTTGATGTTTTATCATCCTTGTAGGAGACTTCTCTCATGTCCCCGCATGAGGAGCTGGAGCTGACAAAAGGAGCTCATCCGTGCTCTCCCCGGATTCGAACCTGAATATTTGAACCGGATTCAAATTTAGATAGATGGATAGATACAGATATATGTTTGTGTCTAATGGTGGTGCAAATGCAAACATATTTTCACTTTTATCTATATAAATAAAAATGTAATGCTCGTTTGTGGGATTAACAGAACTCAAAAACCACTGGGGGAATTGACACCAAATTTGGACACAAGACACCTAACCACCCAATGTTTGTTCTTCACTCAAAAAAAAAAATGATTTTGTCATTTGGGAGTCATAGTTGCTGGGATTTATAGTTCACCTACAATCAAAGAGCATTCTGAACCCCACCAACGATGGAATTGAACCAAACTTGGCACACAGTTCTCCCATGACCAACAGAAAATACTGGAAGGGTTTGGTGGGCACTGTCCTTTGGTTTTGGAGTTGCAGTTCACCTACATCCAGAGATCACTGAGGACTCAAACCATGTTGGATCTGGACCAAACTCTACACGAATACTCAATGTGCCCAAATGTGAACAATGGTGGAGTTTGGGGAAAATAGAATCTTGACATTTGGGAGTTGTAGTTGGTGAGATTTTGTAGTTCACCTACAATCACAGAGCATTCAGAAACCCACCAACGATAGAATTGGGCCAAACCTCCCACACAGAACCCCCATGTGGGCCACAGCAACGCGTGGCAGGGGACGGCTAGTTATAAATATAATATAACAATATAATGTGTATAATAATGATAATAATAATATAGATTGAAAAATAGAATGTGCAAATAACAGTGTAATAATATACAAATATAATAATAATAATAATAATAATAATAATAATAATAGAAAAATAGAACATGCAAATAACAGTGTAATAATATGACAGTATAACAACAATAATATGTACATAATTATAATGATGATGATAATAATATAAATAGAAGGGAAAATAGAATGTGCAAATGTGGAGAGCTGACTGCAGAGGCTGGTACAGAATACACATACTTTCAAAGAAAGTCTTCTCAATAGGGAGAATTATATAGGAATGATTAGCCGGCTGTTTGTTGTGTTCTCTATTGAATTTCCTTGCAATTTGCTGAGTGTCTAGACTGTTTCCAGCCTTTTTCTTTCAGGGTCCCGTGTAGTTCTGTGACTCACCCTTAAGTTTCCATCTCATAGAGTAATTTATTTTCCTAATAGGCAACACACCTTCCCTCGTCTTATGTACAAAGCAAAGTGATTGTTTCCCAAGCGGGTGATGGAGTGAATGTGATCCTAAATCCTCTTTCTTAATGGCTATTAAATGTGTGTGGCTGTTTTTTTAGCAGGACTGTAAACTAATCTGGGATTTGAGAGCGAGGCTAGGAACCAAAATACAAAGAAATGACCTTATGATTGTCGATCTGGGTGATCAGTGGGGAAACGCGAGCGAAATGTGTGTAACGTAACCGTGCTGTAATTTTTAACAAATCAATAAAATGGAATATATGGGAACGAAATGGTGAGTCATAGAATCATAGAATCAAAGAGCTGGAAGAGACCTCATGGGCCATCCAGTCCAACCCCTTCTGCCAAGAAGCAGGAATATTGCATTCAAATCACCCCTGACAGATGGCCATCCAGCCTCTGTTTAAAAGCTTCCAAAGAAGGAGCCTCCACCACACTCCGGGGCAGAGAGTTCCACTGCTGAATGGCTCTCACAGTCAGGAAGTTCTTCCTCGTGTTCAGATGGAATCTCCTTTCTTGGAATTTGAAGCCATTGTTCCATTGCGTCCTAGTCTCCAGGGAAGCGGAAAACAAGCTTGCTTCCTCTCACATATTCATACATGGCTATCATATCTCCTCTCAGCCTTCTCTTCTTCAGGCTAAACATGCCCAGCTCCTTAAGCTGCTCCTCATAGGGCTTGTTCTCCAGACCCTTGATCATTTTAGTCACCCTCTTCCTCTGGACACATTCCAGCTTGTCAATATCTCTCTTGAATTGTGGTGCCCAGAATTGGACACAATATTCCAGGTGTGGTCTAACCAAGGAATAGAGCATGGGGAGCATGACTTCCCTAGATCTAGACACTATGCTCCTATTGATGCAGGCCAAAATCCCATTGGCTTTTTTTGCCACCACGTCACATTGTTGGCTCATGTTTAACTTGTTGTCCACGAGGACTCCAAGATCTTTTTCACACGTACTGCTCTCGAGCCAGGGATCGTCCCCCATTCTGTATCTTTGCATTTCGTTTTTCCTGCCTAAGTGGAGTATCTTGCATTCGTCCCTGTTGAACTTCATTTTGTTAGTTTTGGCCCATCTCTCTAATCTGTCAAGATCGTTTTGAATCCTGCTCCTGTCCTCTGGAGTATTGGCTATCCCTCCCAATTTGGTGTCGTCTGCAAACTTGATGATCCTGCCTTCTAACCCTTCATCTAAGTCATTAATAAAGATGTTGAACAGGACCGGCCCCAGGACGGATGCTTGTGGCACTCCGCTCGTCACTTCTTTCCAGGATGAAGAAGAGGATGCCTTTGGGAGAATCACCCTCTGGGTTCATCCATTTAACCAATTACAGATCTAATCTGAGCTGTACCTACAGTATTTATCTACTCACATTGCTGTTTTCAAAACTGCTAGGTAGGCAGAAGCTGGGCTAAAGGCCAGGAGCTCACTGTTGTATGTCAGCCTGTTCAGCCTGTGATTGTGTCTGATGTTCATGATGGATTGGGGATGATGTTCCTGATGGTGGGCCTGGGTCTGTGTTCAGCTCAGATTAGAGGCCTGAGCTGGCTCAGGAAGATTCCCAAGGCCACATTCTTGGGAGGGGCCTTTCACAGATTTTCTCAGAACAATTGTCTGGGGATGATTTGTCAGGTGCAGAAGATAATGAGAGTCAGGCAAACCCTCACCTCCACTGCCAACAGACCCAGGCCCACCATCAGGAACAACATCCCCATTCCATCAGGAACATCAGCATAAACATCAGACACAATCACAGGCTGAACAGGCTGACGTACAACAGTGTGCTCCTGGCCTTTAGCCCAACATCTGCCTACCTAGCAGTTTTGAAAACAGCAATGTGAGTAGATAAATAGGTAGCGCTTTAAAAGCATGGAGGTATTTAATACACCCATCAGGAAATGCCAGAAAAATGCCAGCAATTCGATCAAGGAGGACGTTTACAAACAAAGCTCTTCGGCAGGGAAAGTGGAACAACAGCACCCCCCTGTGACCGGAACCGAGCACAGCCTCCAAGATGCCGAAGATGGGAAAGCCAATATACACCTCTATGTACAGTTGTCTGTTTTGTCAGTATATAATGGCATTGAATGTTTGCTGTATATGTGTTCTGTGATTCGCTCTGAGTCTCCTTTGGGGTAATCTGGGCGGAACATAAATACTGCAAATAAATAAATAAATAATACAAACTCTATTTTTTTCCTCCTAGTTTTAATAATATCTATCTATTAACATATCTCATCGTTCTTTTGTTAATGTGTTAGCAATGCATCGCTATATAATAAAAAATAGTTTGTGGGATTAATATTACTCAAAAACCACTGGATGAATTGACACCAAATTTGGACACAGTGCACCTCTCAGGCCAACAAGTGACCATCACTTATAAAAACATTGAAAAACACAGCGGAAGAGACTTTAAAAGGCAAAAAATAAAAAATACATTACAACGCATGCGCAAAACCATATCCATATATATATATATATATATATATATATATATATATATATATATATGGTTTTGCGCATGCGTTGTAATGTATTTTTTAGTTTTTGCCTTTTAATGCAAAAAATAGGTGCACTGTGTCCAAATATATATATATATATGCGCAAACACATATATACACATATATGTAAATATATACACACATATATACACACAAAACACTTATACACAAACTGGGCCACAGTAATGCGTGGCAGGGGATACCTAGTGTAAATATATAAATGCTTACTCTATTTATCTTCCATGGGGAGACAGAGTTTCATCTATGCTCATGATGGTGAACCTTGACATGCGTGTCAGCACTGACACGCATGGCTATTTTTGATCACACGCGGCCACATGCGGCCGCATACAGAGAAATACACCTTATAAGAGCCAATCTAATTCCATCCTTAAATTTGTAAAAGGCTCTAAAATTTAACATCTGCACGTTTGAGCATTGTTCACTCCATAACTCAGCATGGAATATACATTTTTTCTTATTTAAACTATAAATATTGCAAAATTATGTTGTTTTTTTCTTGAAGTTGACACCCCACCCAAGTTATGCTCAGGTTTTTGGCAAATTTTGACACACGAAGCTCAAAAGGTTGCTCATCACTGATCTATGCTGACAATCATGCCATCACTGCTAAAGCAAGGAGCTTTGAAATGGTTGAACAGAAGCTCTCAGAAGCTTTAGGTGCTCTGTGCCCAACACCACTGGAGAAATTATACTGTTGAACCAGTATTACAGTACCTGACGTCCGTTGGGAAGTAGCAGCCTGTAATGAAAGGACCAAGGCAGTGATATCTCCGACCCATCCTCTGTTCTGATATCAGCCAGCATGCCAACACTTAAATCAAGAAATAGCTTCTTAAGATCTACAGAGATACTCGCAGGAACACCTTAGCAAGCAAGAATCCAAAAGTGGCAGGCGAAAATCCTGAACCTCAATCAGTGGCTGAGAGCAAATGAGAAACTCCCTCCTGGTCACACAGAAGAGTGGACAACGTGGAAGGTGCACAACAGACCACGAGATGCAGAATCAACCTTAAGAAATGGGGCCACAAAGTGGAGTCCACATGCGAGTGTGGAGAAGAGCAACCCACAGACCACCTACTACAATGCAGCCTGAGCCCTGCCACGTGCACAAGGGAAGACCTTCTCGCGGCAACACCAGAGGCACTCCAAGTGGCCAGATACTGGTCAAAGGACATTTAGTAAAATGCCAAGTTTTTCCACTTTGTGTGTGGTTTTTAATGCAAAAAGGAAGGGAAAGAAAAGGAGGAGAGGAAGGTAAGAAGAAGAGAAGGAAGGAAGGAGAGAAAGAAAGAAAAAAGGGAGGAAAAGAAGGAAAGAGGGAAGGAAGGAAGGAAGGAAGGAAGCAAGTAAGGAGAGAAAGAGGAATGGAAAGAAAAGGGAAGGGAAGGAAGAGAAGGAAAGGGAGGGAGGGAGGAAGGAAGGAGAGAAAGGAGGAAGGAAGAAAGGAAAGAGGGAAGGAAGGGAGAAAGGGAAGAAAGGGGAAAGAAGGAAGAGAGAGAAGGAGGAGAGAAGGAAAGAGAAGAAAGAGAAGGGGAAGGAAGGAAGAAAGAGGAAGGAAAGGAAAAGGGAGGAAGGAAGGAAGAGAAGGAAGGAAGGAGAGAGAAAAGAAAAAAGAGGAAGGAAGGAAGGAAGGAAGGAAAGGAAAAGGGAGGAAGGAGGGAAGAGGAAGAGAAAGGAAGGAGAGAAGAAAGAAAAAAAAGAGAAAGAAAGAAGGAGGAAGGAAGGAAGGAGAGAAAGAGAAGGGAAGAAAAGGGAGGAGAGGAAGGGAAGAAGAAGAGAAGGAGGAGAGAAGAAAAGAAAAAGGGAAGGAAGAAAGGAAAGAGGGAAGGGAGGAAGGAGAGAAAGAGGAAGGGAAAGAAAAGGGAGGGAGGAAGGGAAGAGGAAGAGAAGGAAGGACGGAGAGAAGGAAAGAAAGGGAAGGAAGGAAAGAGGAAAGGAAAGAGAGAAAGAAAGAAAGGGAAGGAAAGAGGGAGGGAAGGAAGAAGAGAAAGAAAGAAGAGAAAGAGGGAGGGAAGGTTGGCCACAGCAACGCATGGTGGGTATAGCTAGTAATAAAACAAAACAAAACAAAACAAATCCAAAAATAAAAAAGCAATTAAATATCAACACATGGTAAATATGAGTGAGTTGGCGTTAATTAATAACAACAATTGTGATTTTGCAAACTATGATTCCACAACGTTATGATCTTGGCGGGCGACAGGCTCAAACTCCTAGTATATTTGGAGGAAGCTGTGAGAAGAAGGGGCCTCCGAGGTCTCTTTATATTGTCGTTCTTGTTCATTATTATTCCAGACCATCTTCAGACTTTGCTAAGGAACGAAACTTTGGAAGTGGCCCTGCAGCGCAACTGCTGAAAATAATGCCCTGAAGGCAACAGATTGTGCCTGGTTTTGGAAACGAAGTGCTAAACAGGGTCAAACCTGTTAATAATAATATTATTATTAACAACAACAACAACAACATTTCAATTTTTCTCTCTCATGCGCCACTTTGGATTTTGGTTCCTGAGATAAAAGTGGGACGACGTTGATGATGATAATAGGCATCTATCTCCCTCCCCGATATCCAAACCCATGGACATGCAAGTCCTGTTATATATAACTAGCCGTCCCCTGCCAGGCGTTGCTGTGGCCCACATCGGGGTTCTGTGTGGGAGGTTTGGCCCAGTTCTATCATTGGTGGGTTTCAGAGTGCTCTGTGATTGTAGGTGAACTATAAATCCCAGCAGGTACAACTCCCAAATGTCAAAATTCTATTTTCCTCAAACTCCATCAGTGTTCACATTTAGGCATATTGAGTATTCGTGTAGAATTTGGTCCAAATCCATCATTGTTTGAGTCCAGAGTGATCTCTGGATGTAGGTGAACTACAACTCCAAAACCAAAGGACACTGCCCATCAAAGCCTTCTTTTTTCTGTTGGTCATGGGAGAACTGTGTGCCAAGTTTGGTTCAATTCCATCGTTGGTGGGGTTCAGAATGCTCTTTGATTATAGGTGAACTATAAATCCCAGTAACTACAATTCCCAAATGTCAAGGTCTGTTTCCCCCAAACTCCACCAGTGTACACATTTGGGCATATTGAGTATTTGTGCCAAGTTTGGTCCAAATCCATCCTTGTTTGAGTCCACAGTGATCTCTGGATGTAGGTAAACTACAACTCCAAAACCAAAGGACACTGCCCACCAAACCCTTCCAGTGTGCCAAGTTTGGTTCAATTCCATCGTTGGTGGTGTTAAGAATGCTCTTTGATTGTTGGTGAACTATAAATCCCAGCAACTACAACTCCCAAATGACAAAATCATAATTTTTGAGTGATGATCACTCCTTGTGTTGTGAGACGTTTTGTTGCCAAATTTGGTGTGATTTCGTTCATTGGTTCTTTTGTTTTTAAGGTACTCATGACAAACAGAGCATTTTTATATATATAGATAGATGGCATAGGAATATCATGTCATTTAGATAAAATGGCCAAATTGGGGCTTGCTTTTTGGAATTTGTTTGGAAATATTTTCACACCATGGATGGTCTGTGAAAACAGAGAGCAGGGAGTAGATAGGAAGCATGCATTAATCCGTGTTTACATCTGGGTCCCCTCTCCAACATATATACAAACATATAAGCCACTTTGAGTCTCCCTGCGGAGAGAAAAGTGGACATAAATAAACATAAACATAATAAGAATAGCAAAGAAAAAACTTAGATGCATTTCAGATGCTCAATGTATGGAAAATCGTAGCATGATGCGTCTGATGTATATCTGGCAGTGATTGCAAGCACCTGGGAAAGGATGCAGAAAGAGATGCACTATAGGAAAAAATATATACAAATATCACAATATCTCAGAAAGGATTCCAAAGGTGGCCTGCAAAGGATGCAGAATAGGAAAGATATATAGAACTATCCCAATACCTGGGGAGGGATGCCAAAATCCAAAAAACATTTTGCATTTTGGAGACTCAGTGCGTGCAAAATCATAGCATGATGCTTCCAATTTATATCTGGAAATGATTGCAAGCACCTGGGAAAGGATGCAGAAAGCGATGCAAAATAGGAAATAAATATAGGAAATATCCCGATATCTGGGAAGGGATTCCAAAATCCAAAACATTTTGCATTTCAGATGTATATCTGCAAATGACTGCAAAATCCAAAATATTTTGCATTTTGGAGACTCAGTGTGTGCAAAATCATAGCATGATGCTTCTGACGTATATCTGGAAATGATTCCAAAATCCAAAACATTTTGCATTTTGGAGACTCAGTGTGTGCAAAATCACAGCATGGTGCTTCTGATATATATCTGCAAAAGATTGCAAAATCCAAAATATTTTGCATTTTGGAGATTCAGTGTGTGCAAAATCATAGCATGATGCTTCTGACATATATCTGGAAAAGGTTGCAAAATCCAAAACATTTTGCATTTCAGATGCTCAGTGTTTTTGCAAAATCATAGCATGATGCTTCTGATATATATCTGCAAAAATTGCAAAATCCAAAATATTTTGCATTTTGGAGACTCAGTGTGTGCAAAATCATAGCATGATGCTTCTGATATATATCTGCAAAAGATTGCAAATTCCAAAATATTTTGCATTTTGGAGACTCAGAGTGTGCAAAATGATAGCATGATAATATACCTGGCACTTATTGCAAGGGACGTAGGAAGGGATGCAGAATAGGAAAAATAGATGGAAATATCAGGGAGGGAGTCCAAAATGCAAAGCATTTTGCATTTCAGATGCACAATGTGTGCAAAATGATAGCACGATATTATACCTGGCACTTATTGCAAGGCACCTGCAAAGGATGCAGAAAGAGATGCAGAATAGGAAAAATAGATAGAAATATCAGGGAGGGATTCCCAAATGCAAAGCATTTTGCATTTCAGATACTCAATGTGTACAAAATTATAGCACGATATTGTATCTGGCACTTATTTCAAGAGACGCAGGAAGGGATGGGATTGCAAAATCCAAAGCATTTTGCCTTTCAGGCCCATTTCCTTTGCTTTGCCGTGGCTTTGGCCTGCCTTTCCCCCTCCTTTTGCCAAGGAGGCGGGGATGGGGAGCGGAGTGGTGCTGATGCTGCGCATGAGCCGGAGCGGATGCTGCTGATGCTGCTGATGCTGAGACGCCTCCATCACCACCACCACCATCACCACCACCGCCTCTGTGCATCCGTCTCTCCATCCCTGCCTGGGAATCCTCGCCTCCTTCCCTCTTTCCCAGGTAAGGCTTCAGTCCTGGAGGGGTCTCCTCCTGGAAGGGGGTCTTTTTCCCCCCTTTTCTCCCAGGAATGGCTGCATCCCTCCCTGGCAAGGCCTGCATCTCCATCCATCCATCTCCATCCTTTCAAGGAGGCCCCCTCCTCTTCTTTGCGCATCCTCTCTGCCTGGCTGCACATACAGAGGGTCTCCAAGGAAAGACCCCCGTCTTCCCATTTCTCCAATCCAGACCACCCTCCCGGACCCTTTTTCCCAGACCCAAAGGGGCCACACCACACCCCTTGACCCCATTTTTCCCGTCTCCAGACTGGATTCATGATTATTTCTCGCTCCATGTTTCGATGTCTTCGCCCCACTCCCCCTCCCATAATGTATCTATTATCTTCCACATTGTTTCCAGTATCCCTCTCCCATATTTCCTGTGTCTCCTTCCCAGATTACTAATATCCTTCCCCCATATTATTTCCAAAATCCCATATTATTCCTAATATCCCTCTCCCATATTTCCTGTATCTCCTTCCCATATAATTTCCAATATTTCCCGTATTATTTCCAGTACCCCTCTCCCATATTTCCTGTATCTCCTTCCCAGATTCCTAATATCTCTCTCCCATATTTACAATACCTGTCTCCCATATTATTTCCCGTATTTCCAATATCCTTTCCATATTATTCTCAATACCTGCTTCCCATACTATTTCCAGTATCTCCCTCCCATATTTCTAATATCTCTCCCATATTATTCCTAATATCCCTCTCCCATATTTCCTGTATCTCCTTCCCATATAATTCCCAATATTTCCCGTATTATTTCCAGTACCCCTCTCCCATATTTCCTGTATCTCCTTCCCAGATTCCTAATATCTCTCTCCCATATTTACAATATCTATCTCCCATATTATTTCCCATATTTCCAATATCCGTCCCATATAATTCCCATACTATTTCCACTATCTCCCTCCCATTTTTCTAATATCTCTTCCATATTATTCCTATATCTATCTCCCATATTTCCTGAATCTCCTTCCCATGTAATTTCCAATATTTTCCATATTATTTCCAGTATCCCCCTCCCACATTCCCAATATCCTTCTCCCATATTATTTCCAGTATCCCTCTCCCAAATTTCCTGTATCTCCTTCCCAGATTCCTAATATCTCTCTCCCATATTGACAATATCTATCTCCCATATTATTTCCCATATTTCCAATATCCTTCCCATATAATTCCCATATTATTTCCAATATCCCTCTCCCACATTCCCAATATCCCTCTCTCATATTATTTCCAGCATTTCCCATATTATTCCCAGTATCCCTCTCCCAAATTTCCTGTATTTCCTTCCCAAATTCCTAATATCTCTCTCCCATATTTACAATGCCTCTCTCCCATATTATTTCCCATATTTCCAATATCCTTCCTATATTATTCTCAATACCTATTTCCCATACAATTTCCAGTATCTCCCTCCCATATTTGTAATATCTCTCCCATATTATTCCCAATATCCCTCATATTTCCTGTATCTCATTCCCATATAATTCCCAATATTTCCTATATTATCCCCAATATCTCCATCCCATATTCCCAATATCCTTCTCTCATATTATTTCCAGTATCTTCCATATTATTTCCAGTATCTCTCCCCCAGATTCCCAGTATCTCTTTCCCATATTTACAATACCTGTATCCCATATTATTTCCCATATTTCCAATATCCTTCCCATATAATTTCCAATATTTTCCATATTATTTCCAGTATCCCCCTCCCACATTCCCAATATCCTTCTTCCATATTATTTCCAGTATCCCTCTCCCATATTTCCTGTATCTCCTTCCCATATAATTCCCAATATTTCCCATACTATTCCCAATATCCCCTTCCCACATTCCCAATATACTTCTCCCATATTATTTCCAGTATCTTCCATATTATTTCCAGTATCCCTCTCCCATATTTCCTGTATCTCCTTCCCATATAATTCCCAATATTTCCCATACTATTCCCAATATCCCCTTCCCACATTCCCAATATACTTCTCCCATATTATTTCCAGTATCTTCCATATTATTTCCAGTATCCCTCTCCCATATTTCCTGTATCCCTATATAATTCCCAATATTTCCCATATTATTTCCAATATCCCCCTCCCATATTCCCAATATCCTTCTCCATATTATTTCCAGCATCTTCCATATTATTTCCAGTATTTCCTGTGTCCTTCCCATATAATTTCCAATATTTTTCATATTATTCCCAATATATCCCTCCCATATTCCCAATATCCTTCTCCCATATTATTTCCAGTATTTCTCTCCCATATTTCCTTATTTCCTGTATCCCCATATAATTTCCAATATTTCCCATATTATTCCCAATATCCCTCTCCCATATTTCCTGTATCCTTCCCAGATTCGTAATATCTCTCTGCCATATTTACAATATCTATCTCCCATATTATTTCCCATATTTCCAATATCCTTCCCATATTATTCCCAATATCTACTTCCCATATTATTTCCAGTATCTCCCTCCCATATTTCTAATATCCCTCCCATATTATTCCTTATCCCTCTCCCATATTTCCTGTATCTCCTTCCCATATAATTCCCAATATTTCCCATACTATTCCCAATATCCCCTTCCCACATTCCCAATATACTTCTCCCATATTATTTCCAGTCTCTCCCATATTTCTAACATCTCTCCCATATTATTTCCAATACCTTCCTTCTTTATTTTCCAATACCTCCCACCTGTGTTTTCAATATCCCTCTCCCATTTTATTTTCCAATCTCCTTCTCCCATAATATCTCCTATATAACAGCAACAACAACAACAACAACAACAACAATATACTCAGAAAATAAACCATTGCCATGACCATAGTTGCACACGGAAATGCAGGAAAATAAATAGCAGGTGGAAGGAAAACCTTGCATGCATTATAGAATAATGGTTAGCAAAGGAAATGTTGGATAATATTATTATCATTATCATTACAATTATTAATATTATTTTGTTTATTGTTTTATGATATTATTTTTATTATTTGCATTATTATTTTGTTTTATTATTTTATTATGATATGATAATTATGCCTTATTAATTGTATTATTATTTTCTTTAATTATATTATATATATAATTTACAATATGATTATGATATATTATTATTTTTATTCTAGAAATGATTATCATCAATAAAATTATATTATTATAATTTATTGGTTTTGTTGTTATTTTATAGTTTTATTGTGATACTATTATGATATTTTATCATTGCTGTTTTTATTTTATTTTTATTATGATATAATCAATGAAATTATATTATGATGATATAGTATTATTATTTTAGTATTATGTTTTATGATGATATTATTATGATGCATTATTTTTATTTTATTGTTTTATTAAAATAAAATTATATGATGATATGTTCTTGTTTTATTAATAATTTGTTTTATATTATAACATAATATAATAATATAACAATAATATTATATTATTATATTTTATTACTATTATTTTGTTTTACTGTTTTATTTTTATATTTTTACATCATTAACATTATATTATTATATTTTCTTTTATTCTTATTTTATTGACTTAATAAATTATTATTATGATATTTTATTATTTTATTATTAATTTATTTAATTGTTTTATTATATTATCATCACCATTGTTTCATTATATTATATTTTATAATTATTATTGAGTTTTATTGTTTTATTCTGATATTATTACATCATTAACATTATATTGTTATATTTAGTTTTCTTATTTTATTGTGTTATGATATTTTATTATTTTTATTATTAATGTATTTCACTGTTTTATTATGATATATCACCATCATCAAAATTATATTATTATTATTATATTTATTATTATTATTATATTACTATCGCCATCATTAAAATTATATTATTATGATCCGTTATTATTTTTATTATCATTTTGTTTTTATTATGATATTATTATCACCACCATCATTAAAATTATATTATTATATTATATTATTTTGTTTTATCCTGATATTATTACATCGTTAACATTATCTGATTATATTTTGTTTTATTCCTATTTTATTTTCTTATTATTATATTATTATAATATTTCATTTCTTATTATTAATTTATTTCATTGTTTTATTATGATATATCACCATAATCAAAATTATATTATTATATTTATTATTATTGTATTACTTACTATCATCATATCATTAAAATTATATTATTATGGTATGTTATTATTTTTATTATTATTTTGTTTGTATTCTATATTATTACATCATTAACTTTATACGATTATATTTTGTTTTATTCTTATTTTATTGTCTTATGATATTATTATGATATTTTATTATTTTTATTATTAATTTATTGCATTGTTTTATTATGATATATCACCTTCATCAAAATTATATTATTATATTTATTATTATTATTATATTACTATTGCCATCATTAAAATTATATTATTATGATATGTTATTATTTTTATTATCATTTTGTTTTTATTATGATATTATTATTATCACCACCATCATTAAAATTATATTATTATGATATGCTATTATTTTTATCATCATTTTGTTTTTATTATGATATTATTACCCCATCATCAAAATTATATTATTATATTTATTATTACTATTATATTACTATCATCATCATTAAAATTATATTATTATGTTATGTTATTATTTTTATTATCATTTTGTTTTTATTACAATATTATTATTATCACCACCATCATTAAAATTATATTATGATGATATATTCTTATTTTTATTATCATGTTGTTTTTATTATGATATTATTACCCCATTATTATTATTATTATTATTATTATTATTATTATTATATTACTATCGCCATCATTAAAATTATATTATTATATTATGTTATTATTTTTATTATCATTTTGATTTTATTATGATATTATTATTATCACTACCATCATTAAAATTATATTATGATATTATTTTTATCATGTTGTTTTTATTATTATATTATTATTATTATCACCGTCATCAAAATTATATTATTATATTTATTATTATTATTATATTACTAACATCATCATTAAAATTTTATTATGATCTGTTATTATTTTTATTATTTTGTTTTTATTATGATATTATTATCACCATCATTAAAATTATATTATTATTATTATTTTATGATATTATTTTGTTTTATTGTTTTATTATGATATTATTATCACCACCATTAAAATTATATTATTATTATTATTATTATTATTATTATTATTATTTTATGATATTATTTTGTTTTATTGTTTTATTATGATATTATTATCACCACCATTAAAATTATATTATTATTATTATTTTATATTATTTTGTTTTATTGTTTTATTATGATATTATTATATTTTAACCTATTAAATCCTAGTGTGAAATATCACCATCATCAAAATTATATTATTATTATTATTATTATTATTATTATTATACTATTGCCATAATTAACATTATATTATTATGATATGTTATTATTTTTATTATTATTTTGCTTTTATTATGATATTATTATTATTATTATTATTATTATCACAATCATTAAAATTATATTATTATTATTATTATTATTACTTTATGATATTATTTTGTTGTATTGTTTTATTATGATATTATTATATTTTAACCTATTAAACACTAAAAAGACGTATATGTTGGACTACCTCCTGCTCTATTAATATGCATTCACATTGCAGGTTGTGGATCAAGCAAGCCGTATTGCACGCCGTCCCATTGAATTCCCGTAATACGTGGGAAGAAAAGAGGGATATGTGTCCCGGTTTCTGGGCGCATGCATGCCTTTGCCATAAATAGCCCGTGCCCACACGGTTAGGGAACTCCCTTCTGCTCAAAATACATTTATGCCTTTCAGGCGTCTGCTAAAAACATATTTATTTGGATAGGCTTTGGGGAAATAAAGGAGCGTTTCGTTGCTGCGGATCCTTTGCATTGGCTCAATTGTTTTGCAGCAGACGTTTCTAATGCATTGCTATAGATCTTTGAGATAGGCCTGTGTGCTGATGTACATGGGAATTGTTCTGAGCATGGAAGAGGAAAGACAGCATATTATTATTATTGTTATTGTTATTGCTGTTATATTTATATATTATTATATTTATTATATTGTTATCATTATTTCTATATAATGGGAATTATTATTATTGCTGTTGTTATATTTTATATATTATTATATTTATAGTGTTATTATTATTGCTATTATTACTTACTGGGAATTATTATCATTTTCATTATTATTATTTATTTATGTTAATAATAATATAATTGTTATTGTTGTTATAATATTCTTATTATTGCTATTACAGTATTACATACTGGAAATTATTATCTTTTTCTTATTATTATTTATTAATGTTAATAATAATATAATTGTTATTGTTGTTGGTATCATTATGATTGCTGTTGTTATATTTTATATATTGTTATATTTATAATATTCTTATTTTATATATTATTATATTTTTTACATTCTTATCATTATTGCTATATAATGGGAATTATGATTGCTGTTGTTATATTTTATATATTGTTATATTTATAATATTCTTATTTTATATATTATTATATTTTTTACATTCTTATCATTATTGCTATATAATGGGAATTATGATTGCTGTTGTTATATTTTATATATTGTTATATTTATAATATTCTTATTTTATATATTATTATATTTTTTACATTCTTATCATTATTGCTATATAATGGGAATTATGATTGCTGTTGTTATATTTTATATATTGTTATATTTATAATATTCTTATTTTATATATTATTATATTTTTTACATTCTTATCATTATTGCTATATAATGGGAATTATGATTGCTGTTGTTATATTTTATATATTGTTATATTTATAATATTCTTATTTTATATATTATTATATTTTTTACATTCTTATCATTATTGCTATATAATGGGAATTATGATTGCTGTTGTTATATTTTATATATTATTATATTTATAATATTCTTATTGTTATTGTCAATTAATGCAAATTATTATTATTATTGCTGTTGTTATATTTTATATATTATTATATTTATTATATCCTTATAATTATTGCTATATAATGGGAATTATTATAATTATTGCTGTTGTTATATTTTATATATTATTATATTTATAGTATTGTTATTAATACTATTACAGCATTACATACTGGGAATTATCATTTTCCTTATTATTATTGATTAATGTTAATAATAATATAATTGTTATTGTTGGTATCATTATTATTGCTGTTGTTATATTTATATATTATTATATTTATTGTATTGTATTATATTTATTATATTCTTATCATTATTGCTATATAATGGGAATTATTATTATTGCTGTTGTTATATTTTATATATTATTATATTTATAATATTCTTAGTGTTATTGTCAATTAATGCAAATATTATTATTGTTGTTATATTTTATATATTATTATATTTATACTATTCTTATTGTTATTGTCAATTAATGCAATAATAATGATAATTATTTACTAATATAATGCAATTCAATGTTGTTATATTATATAGGTTTATTATCATTATGTGGGATACTCGACTGACCATATAGTGCATTGTATATGTCCAATTGCATTATATGTTGTAAAGTAATGTAATGCAATTGAATAATTATATTACACTAGTCTATTATTATTATTGTTATTATTACTGACATAAAAGCACAGTAGGTCACAGCAAACGAGATCTATATGCTGGATTTCGTATCAGAAAATCACAAATCGAACACTTCCCATCTAGGACTGTATGATTTATTATTATTATTATTATTATTATTATTATATAGAACTCTACACTGATCATATAGTGCATTATATGGGTCAAACTGCATTATATGGCTTAGTGTAGACTGAAATAATGCAATTCAATGTGGTTATGTTATATGGGTCTATTATTATTATTATTATTATTATTATTATTATTATTATTATATGGGACTCTACACTTACCATATAGTGCATTATATGGGTCAAACTGCATTATATGTTCAGTGTAGACTAATATGATGCAATTCAATGTAGTTATATTAAATCTATTATTATTATTATTATTTATTATTATTATTATTATTATTGATTATTATTATATAGAGACTCTGCACTGTCCATATAATGTGGAGCATGGTTCAAACGGCATTATATGGTCAGTGTGTACTAATATAATGCAATTCAGTGTAGTCATATTATATAAATCTATTATTATTATTATTATTATTATTATTTTACATCATATTTTCAATAAAAGTACCAACGTTTTTACAAATCCCGATGGTGTCTAGGCACTTGATGATCCAACTGTGTGGGAGTGAGTCAAAGGCTCAAACTGCATTATATGTTCAGTGTAGACTAATATAATGCATTTCAGTGTAGTCATATTATATAAAATCTATTATTATTATTATTATTATTATTATTATTATTATTATTACATGAGACTCTGCACTGTCCATATAGTGCATTATATGGGTCAAATTGCATTGTATTTTCAGTGTAGACTAATATAATGCAATTCAATGTTATATTTAAATGATCTATTATTATTAATTATTATTATTATTATTATTATTATATGAGACACTATACTGATCATATAACACAATGTATGGGTCTACACTGAACTTTATAGTGCATTATATGGGTCAAACTGAATCATATGTTATGAACTAATGTAATGCACTAATATAATGCAATTCAGTGTAGTCATATTATATAAATCTATTATTATTATTATTATTATTATTATTATTATTATTATTATTATTATTATATGGGACTCTACACTGACCATATAATGCAGTGCATGGGTCAAACTGCATTATATGGTCAGACTAAACTAATATAATGCAATTCAGTGTAGTCATATTATATAGGTCTATTATTATTATTATTATTATTATTATTATTATTATTATTTTACATCATATTTTCAATAAAAGTGCCAACGTTTTTACAAATCCCGATGGTGTCTAGGCACTTGATGATCCAACTGTGTGGGAGTGAGTCAAAGGCTTTTTTGTAGTCAATCCATGTCATGTGAAGATTGGTTTTTCAACTTTTGAAGTTCTCCAGAATCATTTTGTCAATTTATAACTGGTCTTTTGTGCCCCTGCTTTATTGTTGTTGTTGTTGTTGTTGTTGTTGTTGTTGTTGTTGTTATTATTGTATTATTATTATTATTATTATTATTATTATTATTATTATTATTATTATTATATGGGACTCTACACCGACCATATAATGCAGTGCATGGGTCAAACTGCAATATATGTTCAGTGTAGACTAACGTAATGCAATTCAGTGTAGTCATATTATATAAATCTATTATTATTATTATTATTATTATTATTATTATTATTACTACTACTACTATATGGGACTCTACACTGACCATGCAGTGCATGGGTCAAACTGCAATATATGTTCAGTGTAGACTAACATTATGCAATTCAGTGTAGTCATATTATATAAGTCTATTATTATTATTATTATTATTATTATTATTATTATTATTAGAGACTCTGCACTGACCATATAATGCAGTGTGTGGGTGCACACTGACCATATTGTGTATTATATAGGTCATGCCACATTCTACGGCAGTGTAGATCCATTATAGGGTTGCATCCATTGGGATTTGGAGTCCTTTTGCCTGACTCAATCCCTTATTGTGTTGATGCAGGAGACAGCATCTCCCGTTGGCCATGACCAAGGACGACTCGGCGGAGCTCCCTTCGGAGGAGGACCACCACCCCTTGGACTTCCAGAGCCCGGTCCTGGAGAGGAGGAAGAAGCCCATCGTCCACCCTTCGGCTCCTGCTCCGCTGCCCAAGGATTATGGTGAGTGTGACGATGTGTAAATTTTATTCCTTTGGTTATGTGTAATTTAAACAGTAGTTTAGGGATGGTAAGTATGGAGGATTATGTTTTGTTGGAGATGGTGGCTTGGCGTTAGCTGAGTTGCCATAGCAACAGGGGCGGAGCCAACTGCCTCTTCAGGAGGCAGCTGTTTTAAAAAGTCAGTCAGTAAGCCGGTGAGCTACTGAGAGGACTGAGTCTCTAGGTGGAGATTCAGGGAATGTGTCTGTAGCCGGTGTGCTATAGGAAAGACTGAATCTCAGGGTGGGGATTCAGGGAATCAATTGGTGACCAAAGTAGTTGCAGAGAAGGACCCGGTAGTGAGAGAGCTACAGGGGGTTGTTGATTCTAAATTAAGAATCAAGGTTTGGCTGGGTTTAAGCCTGCTGTGCCTGCTGTGAAACGTTTTGAAGTCTGTGCCTGAGATTACTCATGAAACCTTTCCAATGTAACCATCAAGATTTGTGCCTCTTGTGAAGAAACAGTTAAACATGTTATACTCCTGTTAAAATAAACTTGTTACTGTTCTCCTCAAGCCTTGCCTGATACAGTTTCTCCTAAGTTGAACAGCCTGCAATAGTGAAGTCAGCCAGAGACAGTAAACGCTACGCTATCCACTGAATAAAACCTTCTGTCATTAACAGTTCCTTTATAAAATAGCTCCTAGGCTGATATTGATCGTTGCCCGGCTTCCCTCATAGATTAGGTGGCAGTGGGTGTTTTACCACTCGCACCTTCACATTTGGTGGCATTCGGTGGCATTAAAACGGTCTTCTTTACAATGAGTATGGGTTCCTTTCCCTCCATCGCATGGGTTCCTCCTGTCTGGACAGCCTGCCAAGTTTCCGATTCAGGCTTTTGTGTTTGTTTGAAGCAAATGAATCGCACTGGGCACAAAGCAAGGCCTGAGCCTGGGAGGCCAAGAAGTAGACAAGGAGCCAATCATTACTGTAGGGGATTTTGTGGGGTTGCTATAGGGACAAGAGGAATCCCATGTTGGCGCCTCTTCTTGACCACCGGAAGGGCAACCAGGACTAGTCTGAATGGGATGCAAGAGTGGGGTAAAAGGAGGGATTGTCCACATTGGAAGGGTCCCCAAAGGCCATCCAGCCCAACCCCATTCTAAATCAGACACAATCCAAGTGCTCCTGACAAATGGCCATCCTGTCTCCATTGAATCATAGAACCCTAGAGGTGGAAGGAACCCACAAAGACCATCCAGTCCAACCCCATTCTAGGGAAGAGACAATCCAAGCCTTCCTGACAGATGGCCATCCAGTCTCATGAATCATAGAATCCTAGAGTTGGAAATCCCCAAAGTCCATCCAGCCTCACTCCATTCTAAGGAAGGCACAATTAAAGCCCTCCTGACAGATGGCCATCCAACCTCTATTGAATCCTAGAGCTGGATGGGGCCCCCAAAGGCCATCCAGGCCCACTCCAGTCTAAGGAAGACACAATCAAAGCCCTCCAGACAGATGGCCATCCAGCCTTTGTTGAATCCAAGAGCTGGAAGGGACCCCCAAAGTCCATCCAGCCCCACTAAGAAAGACACAATCAAAGCCCTCCCAAAAGATGGCCATCCAGCCTTTGTTGAATCCTCGAGCTGGAAGGGATCCCCAAAGTCCATCCAGCCCCACTAAGAAAGACACAATCAAAGCCCTCCCAACAGATGGCCATCCAGCCTTTGTTGAATCCTAGAGTTGGAAGGGATCCCCAAAGTCCATCCAGCCCCACCCCATTCTAAGGAAGACAATCAAAGCCCTCCAGACAGATGGCTGTCCAACATCTGTTGAATCAGAGAATCCTAGCATTGGAAGGGACCCCCAAAGAACATCAGTCTAACCCCGTCTGCCAAAAAGGAAGACACAATCCAATCCCTCCCGACAGATGGCCATCCAGCCTTTGTTGAATCCTAGAACTGGAAGGGACACCCAAAGGCCATCCAGTCCAACCCCATTCCAAGGAAGAGACAATCCATTCAGTCTCACTGAATAATAGAATCCTACATTTAGAGAACACTACAAAGACTATCCAATCCAAGCCCTCCTGACAGATGGCCATCCAATCTCCACTGAATCACAGAATCCTAGAGTTTGGAAGGTATCTCAAAAATCCCCATTTTAGGGAAGAGACAATCCAGGCCTTCCTGACAGATGGCCATCCAGTCTGCATTGAATCTTAGGACCCTCGAGTTTGGAAGGGATCCCCAAAGTCCATCCAGCCCCACCCCATTCTAAGGAAGATACAATCAAAGCCCTCCAGACAGATGGCTGTCCAACATCTGTTGAATCAGAGAATCCTAGCATTGGAAGGGACCCCCAAAGAACATCCAGTCTAACCCCTTCTGCCAAAAAGGAAGACACAATCCAATCCCTCCCGACAGATGGCCATCCAGCCTTTGTTGAATCCTAGAACTGGAAGGGACACCCAAAGGCCATCCAGTCGATCTAGTGTTGGAAGGGACCACCAGAGAACATCCGGACTTACCCCTCTTGTCATAAAGGAAGACACAAACCAAGCCCTCCCAACAGATGTCCATTCAGCCTATGGTTGAATCCTA